TTATTTTCAGAGGTTGCTTATTTTCAGAAGAATACGGTATTTATTATAATATAAATTAAAACTTTGAACAGATTAGATCAGATAATTTATTTAACCTGATCTGTTATATTTTTTAAAATTAAATTAAAAGCTACCTAATATAAATAAATGCTTAATATAACTTGATCTGTAAATCAAATTTTTCAGGTCAGATCAGATATCTGATCTTATTTTTTTTAGATTAGATATTTAACTTAATTTGACTTAAAAGTCAAATAAAAAATATTACAAAAGTTTTATTTTTTTTTATTTATTTAATAAATTAATTAATTTTATAATTATTATTTAACTTAATATTATTATATTAAATAAAATCTTATTTATTAAAAAATAAAATTTAAAATTTTCTAATTCTTTAATTAATAAAACTTATTGAAAACTAGTCTTTTGAAGATATTTTTTCCAATTTTTAAGGCATATACATGTTTTGATTAATTCTATTCCTAAACTAAAATATCTTTTATTATTAAATTAACTCTATCAAAAAAAATCCTTTCAACAGGTATATTAGTTTCTAAAATTAAAAGTTATATATTTTAAGTTAATACAAGATTAAAAGTTATAATATACTTTTAAAATATTAAAATATTAATAAAAAGATCGTATTTACCTAAAATTACTAAAAAATCTCAAGTTATAGTTACAAAATATAAATAAATAATTTTATATACCTGTAATATATTTAGTTATTTATATTAGTTAAATTATATAATATAAAAAATCTACTATAAATTTATTTACCTTTACAATTATAATAAATCAATTTTAAACTTAATTACAGATTTTTGAAGATATTCATTCAATTCATCTTTATCAGAAAAATTATTATCTATTTCAAATATATTAAAAAATTGCTCTAATCTTAATTTTAAATTAAGTTATTAGTAAAAAAATTATTTCAATAATATTCTTTATATATATCTCTAATTATTTTTATTGAATTATCAATATATTCTTATTCCTATAATTGTTATCAATAGTATTTTAATTTTATTTATAAATAAAGTACTTAAAAATAATAAATGTGAAATAATACATTAGTATTAATAATGTAAATAAATTTAAATAAAAAATAAAATATTTAATACTTATTACAATTAGGTAGATATATAATTTATCTATTTTTATATAATAAATTTTAAGCTTCTTATATTTTTTTGTTATAGCAACAGAAATTGAATAATATTCTTTGTTTTGTTATCAAGAAAATTTTTAAATGATCTATTAAAATATTATATATATAAATTGAAGAAGAAAGTGTAATATATTCTGATTTTAATATTTTTTTTTAATTACTTTATAAAAATTCTAAATTTTAAAATTATAATTAAAAATTATTTAAAATTGGATTTAAAATTGCAATAAGATTTAACAAAAAAAACTTATCTCAAACACATAATATAATTTCTTTATTTGATTCTATCTCTTTAATGAAATTAAAAAATCTGTTAATTCCTTTTCAATTCTTATTATTTTATTAAGAGACTATATAATTATAAATATTCTTTATAAGTATTATTTTTAAATAACTTATTAAAGAAATGAAGACTTTCCTAGCAAAAGGGAGGATTCAGATCGATCACATAATTTTGAGATTTTTTGATCATTATATTCTTATAGGTCTAACCTTTTGAGAAATATATTTTTCATTCATAATAAATTAGTAAAAAAGACGTAATTTTTAATTTTTTATTTTTTATCACCTATATAGACAAATTTATTTTAATAAGTTTTATAAGGTTAAATGATTATATATTTCATAATATAATAAAAATAAAAAAGATAAATAAAAGCTAATACCTTCAAGAAAATGTCTGTAAAATTTCGTCTTAGATTATAAAACTATTTTTGAGAAATAAGAAATTTTAAATTTTCTGATAAAATTAATCATATGATTTAAATTATAATTTTCTCAAAATTATATGATTGGCTGAACCTTTCTTTTGCTAGAAAGGTTTCCAAATATTAAGAAACTAACAAATGCTAGTTAGTTTATAAGATCTTATTACTAAATCTACTTTTATAGAAATTTTTATTTTTATCTGATTTCTTTAAATTAAATTTAAAAGAATTATAAATTTATATAATAAGATTTTTAAGTATCATCTTTATCCTTTATCATCTATATATCTTAATTAGATTTGAATTTATTTTTCTATATTTTTATAATTAAACTATAATATTAAGAAAAGTTATTTTTTTACATAATTTTCATTTTTATTACATATTTAATTTAAAATTATTATTATAAAATTTTTTACAATATATGTTTTAAAATCTGAGACTTATATGAAAAGAGAGCCAGATTATTTACTATTAGGCTATTGTATTCAGTATTTATATATCTTAATCATTCAAAATCTACAAAATTATTTATAATAATGCATTGATTGATCAATCGTTTTGCAAGTTTACTTTCTTATTTTGTTAAATTATTAACATAATCCATAAAAATTTATGTTGAATGTTGTCAACACATATATTAAATGTCCTTTCATTGTATTTATTATATTTTAAGGAGAATTTTTTATTTGTCCTCGGTTGGGTATAAGTATATATGTAGTATCGTTCGTTAAAGAAGTTAATTAACTTAAAGCTTTTAGATTTGTAAAAATCAAGGATCATTTCAATTGATATATATTTTGAAGAAACCGCCACTCCAGACAACAGAATAATCACTTTTCTTTAAAAAAAAAAATAATTAATTAAATAAATAATAAGTAAACAATATGTATAAAAGGTCAAAAAATAAGAACTCTGTAAATCAATGATGGCAAGTGACCCAAATGACTCAAATGACTGGTCATGTGTCATTTGGTCATTTAAAAATAATATCATGTGATCTCAAAAATTCTGGCCAAATAATTAATATAATTTAATGTTTCGAACGTTTTCGTAAATATTTCACGTGATATAATTTGTAAATTTGGCCAGTATCTAAAATTTGGCTTGTATTACGTTTAAATGACCAAATGACAATGGCCTCAAATGACCGGGTCATTCGAAGGTCATTCAGAGGTCCCCCAGAGACGAGAACTCCCTCAGCCATAATGTATTACAACATACTAGTAGCGGATTACATCGATGCATGTTATTGGCGTACTTGATCTTCAGCTTCTATTTCGTTATGTCCTCATTTTATTGAAGAGTAAAATTCCAAATCTCGTTAATACAATGCTTGAAAATAGGATTGTTTGATTTTCATAACGTTAGATTATTTTCATTGGTTGATAATTCGGACAAAGTCGCTAATTTTCATGGTACCAAAAAAAAACTCATCTTCCTTAAACACACTAATAGAATCAATCTCTTGAAGCTAAACTTCAAAGGGAATAGAACCTTTATGATTTTGTTTAATTCGAATGAGTATTGTAACAAATTCGTGCTCTCACAATTATGATGTATAAAAATAAACTATACAATAAATAAAAATAAAATATCTATTTTTATACTACAGAATTAATAAAATGTTATCATTTTTGAAATCGCAATATTAATGATTGTACTTTCATCTATATTTTTCAAAAATTATTAAGAATGCTTGATTGTTTTTTTAGTAAGTTAGTTAAGGTTTTTTTTGGTAGTTTTTCAAAAGTAAACTTAGCTTAAAAATGAAAAATTGTTAATTCAATATTGTTAAGCTTATAAACATAACAATAAACAAAGTTACCTTTTTTGTGATTTTTTAAACGTGGTTCTTTCCATTTTTTTTTTTTTTAAAAAAAAAAAAATAATAACGACGAGAAGAGAAATATAATGAAATTTCTCATCATCAGGCTAAAATCTAACTGATCATTATGAATTGGACAATAATTAATCGTTGCAAAACACAATAACTTACAAGTATCAAACGAAATATTCCTGGCCAGTTTTTCATCATAACTTTTTCTACGTGGTTATTATGTGTTGATTTAACAAGAATTTAAGTCAATAAATTATTAAAATACTCTGCCTGAAATGAAATATAAGGACTATCATTCTTTAAAGAATTATCAATTTCTTCTGAAATAAATATCGTAAATATATTACTACCTTTTTCATATTTTTTGTCCGCTTTTTAATCGTAAACAACTTATAAATCAACTTAACGAAAAGCAAAAAAACGGACATTAATTGTGAAATTAGTAGTAAGAATTAAAGATGTATTTAAATAGGGCCTCTGATTGTGATGATTGGAACCGCGTCGTGATAATTGATGTGATATCTACTAAGTTTACTAGTATTAAAATGGCCAAAGTGTACATGGTTACACTTATGTTACTTAGGAGAATTATTCTCAAAGTGTTCGATATGGTTATCTTAATGTGATATCTTCGTAATCAGGGGGCCCTATTTAAATGTGTGTTCAAAATAACATCATATTAATAAATTTTTGTCAAACTGTAAAATTTAAAAGGTAACTTTTTTTAAACTCTTTGATATTTGTTTATGCAGGAGATGCACAATTCACTTTTTTGATTTGACTTCGCATTTTTCAAGATATCAGAAAGTTGATGAATTCTTGAGACGAATTTGGTATGATCTTCGGTTCCGTTGCCAATATGAAACATTTGATTTGATTAGTGTATTAATTAATTGCATTTACTCAAGATTAATATTTATCGAGCACATATCATATTTAGATTAATCCTGAAAATATATATATATATATATATAATATATTTATTTGCGAAAAGAATGAATGTATATGGTATGATAATATAATAAATACTGCCACATTATTAATTAAATTCAATCAAATTTGAAAGGAAAAAAAAATCTTTCTTTTTTCTTATGCATGTTCATGTTAAAAATAATTTTAAAATATCAAAAAAAAAATTTTTCATTTTTTTTGCATTTAATAGATTCAAAGTTATAACGTTAATAATTTTGATGAGAAGGTTGAAGATTTTTGGGAAATAAATTAAATAAATAAATAAATACGACGTTATATAAAAGTTTATAGTCATAAAATTACGAGAATGAGCAAAGAAAAATCAAGTTCACTTAAAAAGCCTGATGTAGCTATCACGGCAAGTTCATTTTATTCAAGAGAAACGCTATCAACTCCTTCGGTTAACACAAAACGTTCATCAAATTCCTCAGTAGATACACTTGTAACTCTTCCATTGGAAGAAGATCAAACAAAAATAGATATACCTTCACCTGCAATAAAAAATGAGAAAGTTGCAATTCCGACTTCTTTATCGTCAAGTCCATCCGTTATTTCAACGGTTGTAGAAAAAGAAAAATTAAATAAATCAAATTCAATATTACAAAGATCACTTTCATTCTTGACTCGTTCGGAATCAAAAAAATCCGAATCGCAATTAGTTAAAGTGCATCGATATACCATATACGATGATGAAACAGGAGAATTTATAGAAATTGTAGATGAGGAGTGGGAAGGTGATGGCCCACGACCAAGAAAATCTACGGACTCTCAAAAAAAGGGTGTAATAATATTAGACAAAGATTTACCAAGTTTACCCGAACCTCCTGTAATTAAAAAGAAAACACCAATAGCGAAATTCAATCAATGGTTAAAGGATAAATACCCTCGTGTTAATAAATACAAATTATTAATAATAGTATCTCTGATACTTATAATACTATTAATGATCATAATTTTGGCAGCCACTGGAGCTTTTGCTAAATCTAAAAATAATGGACTTCAAATGAATGGAAAGGGAGATGGAACATTTTATGGTAGGAAATTGATTCAATAAAAATTACCATTTACAATTTTTTTTAACCTGTTTTAATGTAATCATTAGATCCAGGTATTGGCATAGGAGCGTGTGGCAAGATTAATACGGCTGATGAGTTTATTGGTGCAATGGTAAGTATTACCAAACCCGATTTTTACGTGATCCATGTCAAATCATTCTCTTTTAATTCAATCTAGAACGCTCAACAATTTGGGGTGTCACCTATCTGCGGTAAGTGCGTAAACATCACCGGGCCAAAAGGAAGCGTCAAAGTCAAAATTGTAGACAAGGTATGAAAGAAGTACTTCCGTTAACGAGTGATTTTAATTTTCATTAAACAAAATGTTGCTTTTCTTCGAACATTAATTTAGTGTTCCAAGTGTAAATTTGGCGATATTGACATTTCTCCAGTCGCCTTTAATGTAAGTATTTTTAAGTACAAATTACTTCAAAGATATTACAACTTTTTGTTAACTCGTTTATTTAGGCTATCAGTGACGGATCACAAGACCGTATATCGATTACTTGGGAAGGGTGTTAAATTAAATTAATATTTTATTTTTAATTTACAATTCTAATTTTAACAAACGATACAATTAATGGAGTGACTGGATTTTTTGAATTTTTTTACCTTTGTCGGAAAACTACCACGATAATTATATGGGGACAGTAAATATAAACCACTTTAAGAATAATCATTGCTAAAAAACGTCAAAACTTTATCGGTAATAAAAAAAAAAAAGATATTCTTTTTCCGTCAAAAAATTTTACATAGGATGCTATCATTGTTATCTATATTAAATATTACAAATTATCATTTACTCGCACGATTATGAAAAACTTAAAATATATGAATGCTTAAAATTTATAATCTTAGTTTTATTAGCAATTGGCATTTATATTTTTAAGCTTATCGTTTGATTTATACACAAAAATTATACATTAAATAATTAATTACAATTTGAAAGAATTGTAAGAAAAAAAAAAAAACTCAGCAATTGAAATTTGTTCAGCATTTGAAAAATACTAATCCAAAGTTTTTACTATAGATATATACGAATGATGGATTGTATAAAATTGTTATTGTAAAGAAAGGACGTAGTTGCGTCTCAACAGTCATTATCAATAGTCCTAGTTCAAATAATTCAAATTCCGTCCGTCAAGTCGCATTTCATCTCGATTGATTCCGCTATGATGATTACTTGTAAAAAATCTAAGAAATCGCCAAAGGCCCTTTACCATGCATTGTTAGTTGCCAAATGCAATTGTGTGGCAAGATGTATTTTAGCTCTGTATAAAAACTCCCCTTCTACCGTTTGATAAGTAATAATAGAATATTATGAAATTACAATATTTGTCATGGTTGAGAAATTTATATTTCTCAACCCTTGAATGTGAGAGAGGTAAGGGAAGAAGAATAGGATCATGAATTGAAAAATGTTATATATTTTTAAAATAAAGGAAGGTTTTGAAGTTGGATTATTCGAGTTTGAAATTGGTGTGAAATGTGTGAAATACTAACGCCAACATCATTCTTTTAAATAAACTTTTCTTTTGATTGTTTCGATTACAATTTGGATTAGCGAATTAAATTTTCACATGTTTATCACTTCATTCTTTACTTGTCGTTTGAACGGCAGTCAAAATACTTGACCATAAACTTGTTCGCTTGAGAAAATATTGTGAAGGCAACCAAAAAAATTTGTAATACACTACTTTTAGTCAAAAGCCTGTTATGAATCACATTCGAGAGAGAACTTTCACAATTCCTTTATTATTCTACTTTTTTTGGTCAATTATGATCGTTTTTTTTAAAAAAAGATCCATTAACGTTACATAATTTTTGATAAGGTAAATTCTATTTGATAACAGACATGCAACTATTCGATCAATATGATAATTGCTTTAAATTTTAATCTTGCCTTTCAAAACTTATGAAAACTTGATATAATACTATATTAACCTTTTTCAAGTTTGTAATGTAAATATACAAAATATTATATATTTCATAAATTAATAATGTCTAATTCATATTATACTGTATAACAATGTTTTAAATGCATAATTATAGTGAATATATAAGTTCTAGTTTACTTTTACTCAATATAACATAACATAATTAATGTAAACCTTCAGATAAATTATATATAATAAAATAAAAAAAATGTAAATCCTAATTTTTATTCTTTCATATTTATTTTAATCTTTAAATATTTAAAATAATATTAAGTTAATATGTCAATACAATTCTTATTTTGTAAAGATTTTAATAAACTAAAATTCATTTTAAAAATAAATTAGTAAATCTAATAAAGTCTATAATTATTAAAAGATTAATCTATTAAATGCAGTATAATAAAAATTAAAATTAAATAATTTATTATATATAATATAGATTTTTAATTATTTAATTTATTAAACTTACTAATAAATTTTACTTTTTAAAATTTAAATTCTTTGGTTTTAATATTAAAATATATATATATAAAATTAAATTGATACAACTTTCTCAATAATTTAAACTATTTTAAACCTTCTTTTATCTTTACTAGAAATACTCTGAGTAGCATCTATATAAAAGATTTAGTCAGAATAAAACTTCCTAATCCTTTTAGAAGTTAAAGATAAATCAGTAATATAAAAAATTTGATTTTTTTCTTTTTTTTCTGATTTATAAAAATTTTTTTATTTAAAAAAATTTTTTTTTATTATAATATTTTATAATAATTAATAATAATTTATAAAATAAAATTGCATTATATTAATAATATAAATAAACTTTTTATATTATACATTTTATTAATTGATTAATAATCATTAATATTAAAACATAACATTAGATTTATTATAATAATTAAATATAATGTTATTTATTAATAAACTAATTAAAATTATTTCTAATAAAATAAATTTTAAGTATAATTATTAGATTTGTAAATATATAAAAAATTTAAAATTTAGCAATTAATATTTCAATATCTATATATAAAAAAAGTTTAAAGTTTATAAATAAATTATTAAATTTATTACTTTTTATTTAAATATAAATATTAATATTAAAATTACTAATAAATCTTATATGATAAATACTTTATATTATATAATTTTAAAATAAAAAACATTAACATTTTTATAATATATATTTTACAATTAATATATAAAAATAAATAAATTTCATTTTATTTATTAAATATTTTTTTTTTAAAAAAAATTAAACCCAGATTTTAGAAATTTTTTTAGAATTTGTTTTCTTACTATTATAAGTTAATAATTATAATATAATTACTATAATCACTAAATATTTTTATCAAATATTTATTACTTTAGTATTTACTAGATACATATGTACTTAAAATTTTAGAATGACAATATATTAATTTGTAATATAATTGAATCTTTATTTTTAAAGTTTTTTTATCAATTTCTTAATACATTATTTAAATTTTTTGAAAAATCAGAAAAGATATATTAACTGATTTTTCATTATGATTTTTGCTTTATCACTTTTTCATAATATAAATTTTAATTATTCTTTTTTTATAAATATAAAATATTAGTCTTTTGTATTTATTAGATTTATTAGAGTTTACTTAATAATATTTAAGAATTTATATTATTAAAAACTAAAATTACTTATTTTATTATTAATAAATAAAATTAATAATAACTAATTTAAATTATCAATCTGATAATAATATTATAATTAAAAGTTAGAATTAAATTTATATTTAAATTTAAATTAGATATAATAAATCTAGATTCTTTATTTTATTTAAATATAATAAATCTAATTTTTTCAATTAATTTAGTTAATTTAAATATAATCATAAAATTTCATAAAATTTTATTATAAATTTTAACAAATTAATTTTTTTATAAAACTGTTAACCTTTATCCATAATAAATTTAAATTTAAAAAAATCTTTTATGGCTTTTTATTCTATATAAATCTTAACTTTTAAAAATAATTATTTTTTTTTAATTTCTTTCTTAATTATAATGTTTAATATTAAATCTACATTTTCATATTAATTTATTAATAAATATAAAAAAAAAGATATAAATAATTAAGTATTATATCTTCAAATAATGATAGGCTATTAGAAAGAAGTAATAGAAATTACATTTCTTATTTTTACAAAGACTTAAATAAAATAAAATAGTATATTATATAATTTGTAAATGTATTAATAAAAAATCTTATTTTATAATTAAAAAAATAAATTAATTTCAAATCTATTCTGTTGCAATGTAAATTTCAACTTCTTTTTTAATTCAAAATCTTTTTCCATAATTACAAATTTAATTTTTAATATAATTAAATGTAAATGATAAAATAGGATTATAAAAATTCACATATATTATATAATTATATTTATAAATTTTCATAATATAAAATTTTTTAAAGTTTGTATTAGTTAAAATAAAATTAAAGGTAAATAATAAATTATCAATATAATGAAGTTCAGTAATAAGAGCTTATTTATCTTTTAATAGTTTTTATTATTAAATTTTTACAGCCTTTGTATATTTTTAAAAATGATACTTTTCAGTATTTATTTATGCTTGTAAACCTGAATTTGCAATTTACTATAAAAAATAGCAAAAAATTTAATTTATAAAGTATATATTTAATGTAAAGATTAGCTTATTAATTTACTTAAAAATACATCTATATTAATTTATTTTATTACAGATCTTTAGACATTAAAAAATAATTATAGATATATTAGAATAATAATAACTTAATTTACTTCTAATTTTAATTTTTATACAGTCTTGTTTACTTATAATTATTTAGAATATCTATATATCAGAGAATTTATTTGTGATAAATTATATCAAATTATTAAATAATAATATTTTATAATTTTTACAATTATGACTGATAATAGATTAAATATGATTAAAAATATATAACTTTTTAACTAAACTTTATCTTCTATAAAAAGATAACCTTGTATAGTATATACAGAAAATATAAAATGTATTAGCCAGTTTTAAAATTTTTATTATAAGATAACTAACATATTAACTTTATTTTTTTTATTTTATTAAATTATAGGTCAATATTTTATTAGACTTTCATTTGCAACAAAAATGACTTAAACCTAATGTGATATAACCTTGATTAAATTTTGATAATAATTTATAGGTATCATATTCTATTCCTCCTTAACCCACTATTTTAATTACACAATACTAAAAAATTAGGAAATTAGCTTTTCTTTATATTAATTTAACTTTATGCTTTCTATTTTCTACTTTTTTAGTTAGAATATATTATTTTTATTATAAAATATTTAGCTGAATATTTTTTTATTAGTAGGTGAAACTTATTAACATAGTAAAATATTTTATAATCTTAATTTTAATGATCAAATACTTAAATTTGACCTTATTTCACAATTGCAAAAAATTATTCATTTAAAATATGCATTTAGACTTCAAACAATATATATAGCATTTAGACTAATAATACATATAAAATACTATGTAATTATTTATACAAATTCTTACAAAAAAAGTTAATTATATAGAAAAGATTGCACTGCTATTCTTTTCATCAGGGACTGTACTACTTTTTTAAAATCTTTTACAATCTAATTTTTGTAAGTACAAGTCTAAAATAAATACTTTTTTTATTACTTTCAGAAATTAATAAATTGAAGCAAGGAATATATGAGTAAAGACTTTGTTTGACTAATTCATTACAAATTATTTATTTAGAAATAGTATTTTGTACAGATTCAGATCAATCTGAATCTAATCCAAATCTGATGAATCAGATTCAGATCTAATTTAGATTCAGATTTAGATCAGATCTGATTCATCAGATTTGGATTTAGATCAGATCTGATTTATCAGATTTAGATTCAGATTCAGATCTAATCTGTTAGATTCAGATTAGATTCAGATCTGATTTGTCAAATCTGAATTTAACTTTTTTAAAGCTGAAAAGTTTCTTTCATTAAAAGAAAATAAATTTTCAGATACTTTTAGATCTGAAAATTTATTTCTTTCATTGAAAAGAAACAAATTTTTGAACCTTCTTTAGAGCTAAAAGTTCCTTTCATTAAAAAAAATGAATTTTTGAACCTTTTTTAAAGCTGAAAAGTTCCTTTCATTAAAAAGGAATAACTTTTCAGAACTCTTTTAGAGTCAAAAAGTTCCTTTCAATTAAAAGGAACAACTTTTTGAAACTCTTTTAGAGCCAAAAAGGTTCTTTTTAATGAAAAGAAATGACTTTTGAAACTCTTTTAAAACTGAAAAGATTCCTTTCATTAAAAAGAAATGACTTTTTGAAATTCTTTTAGAGC